AAGAGCGATCGATCCTTTTCGTATTTACATTCACCCTAATTAAAATAAATTATTCGGTAAAGTAGAAAAGATAAAAATGCGCGACGAGTGAGAAGCTGAGAGGAGGAATGGGAGTAGCGGCGCACGTGGGTGTGCGAGGGGAGGGGGCGGCGGGGACTGCGGGCTATATAAGGCAGCGCGGAGACGGTAGCGGCATTCGGCGGGGAGCTCTCGAGGGGTGAGGACCGAGAGGTTGGTAAGTATTGAAACTCCGGGTAAAACGAAGGAAGTGGTAAAGTAGGTGAAGTAGGGTTACCTAGGTGGGTCCCAAATGCAGTACCTCCCCCGTGAACCCGGGAAAGGCAGGCCGTCCTCTACTGCTGAACGACGTCGCCTTGCGATTCACTGCGGTAAGGTTAGTCCGGTTCATCGGAAATCGGGCAGTCTTCGGGAGCCCTCCTTTTTCTGTTTTAGCCGGGCTTTCAACGGCGGCTGGAGGGAACATCTCCGACATGGCGCATTCATCGATCGGACAAAAATCGGGCTCGGTTGATTAATCGACAGGGTCGATTCGCGTCAGGTGAATCATCCCGGGCAAACGGTGCACGTAGGTACAGTCAATACTTTATCGGAGCCACGTACGCTTTACCGATGGCCGCTCCGTGAACTTTTCCCCCTCTTACAGGCCGCTAAATTCATTGCGGCTGTTACAGGCGGTCGAGCCGTGAGATATCGTGCGAGTCGGCCCGTTATTTCTCTTAACAATAGCGGATTCATAGACTCCGAGGAGAGATCAACCCTGGGTGAGAAATCTTCGAAAACTGAGCCCTTTCTCTGTAAATTTCGCCAGGGATTACGGTAATTACCAGTGGGTAATTCCCGTAATTCTCACCGTTTGTAAAACGAGCTTCTCCTAAGTCATTAAGAGATACTTAAAAGCGGGTTTTTCAAAAACGCGCTTGCTTATGTATATATATATATATATATATATTTGTATATAAATCTGTATCCACGTCTTCAGCCGCTCAAGAGACCTCGCAAAGAAGCTGGGAAAGCCAGGAAGAAAAACCCGCTTGAGCCCTTCATATGTCAAGTGACTTGAAACGTGCCTTTCCCACTGACTGGAAATAACTCGATGACGTTCGAGGATCAGCCGATGTTAGAGGATGCTCAAACTCTGGTCCATTTCCCCCCTGGTCTCGTCGACACCCTGACCGGCCAATTACTGCAAATCGAACCTCGGAAATCCTCCCTGGCGAGATTAAGTGTTGCCTAATTAATCGACACGAAATATCGCCGGGATTTCCTTTCTCATCTGCATATCCTTAACCGAGCGAAGTCGGGGATCGTCCTTTTTAAGGCGAATCCCGAAATCCCTAGCTTGACTCCGGAATGGCCAACCACGCTTTTTAACGACCCCTCCTGGGAAAGAAATGATCTCCCTTAGAGTCCGAGATCATTTCGATGAAGCTCGAGCCCCCCTCCGTTTTCGGACACCTTACTTTATCGACGTTCGGGTCGATACATCCTCGTTTGAGGTTAATTGGCCCGCCGATACGGGGCCAATTAATCGAGCCTCGACCAGCCGGAGGGAAATTTGCCCGGTATGAAGTTCAAATTTGCCCAGACTCATACGACGTGCATTTAAGCCCATCAGCGATCTATCGAGGGCGTTAAACGATATCGGGATGGGTTTCTACCCTCGACCATATCTTCAGGACTCGCAGGTGAGGTCGATTTTTCTCCATTCTGGAGGGAAAGCCCTACGCGTTCTCCCTTGATTAATCGAGGATCAAACGCCGGGCTCCAGGGAAATTTCCTCGACATTATTCTTGCAGAGGACGCTGGATAAAGTGTACGGGGTAAGGTTGTCACGTCTCTTGCGGGGAAACGGTCCAATTTAAAGGCGTCTTCAGGACTACGGGGTAACCTAAATAAGGCTCGACGCTCGCAAGGCTTGATCGTAAGTTCCCGGGTTAGCTGGAGCCGCGTAACGACGTTAATTAGAGACAATTTAATACATTCGCCTAAGTCCTCTCGAGAGCGTAGCACGCAGTTACGCGATTACGAGATGCTCTCGCGAGCCATAGCGCCAGATTTTGACTCGTCCTTTGACGAGGACCTCCCGAAGGACCTTAAAGAAATGGTCGGCCTTGAATTTCCCTGGCATGGCCACTTGATTGCGAGGACATAACGCCGTATAACCTCGAGGGGGAGATATATCCTCGAGGTGACGCGATAATTCGACTTTTTACGACGGATAAGCCGCGGGATGTTTTATTTCCCGAACCATCCCGCGGAAACCCCGGCATTTTCTCCAGGCGCGTCATAACGCGACGTATGGATCTTTATTTTATAGGCACGCATCCGCCGTAAACGCGCCCGGTGATAAATAAGGCCTGAGTGATCTGCCATCGACGCCCTGAGAGACTTCAGAAGGGCCGGAGTTAGAGGCACTTGAGAGAGGTCCAGGCGTGACCGTGGTTTATTTCTCTCCAAAATAAAAAGAAATAAAAAAGGGAAGGTAAAAGTGCCCTTTGCGGCGCCCTGGGGGAGGAAAAAAGCGCCCCTTCGGTGGTGTCGAGATCAACCCTTCCCGCTTTCCGATAATTATTGGAAGTCTTCCAAGATTCGGCGGACCGGCGCCCTTCTACAGGGCACAGATCGATGCCCGGGTTGACGGAATTATCCGAACACGGGAGGGGGCTTAATCGTAAATCCCCCGGGTTAACTCGAGGTGTAACGACGTTAATTAAAGACAATTTAATGCGTTCCCTAGAGCACCCTTAATGGCGCCGTCGCGCAGTTTCCCGATTATTACGGACGCCCTTGCGAGGTGCAATATCGAGCCGATCGACGAGGAGGGCTCACGGAGGGCGATCCATCTCGGCAGCGATCTTCGGGGAGAAAAATTCCCGGAGAAAAAAAAAAGAAACTCCAAGAAGATTTAATTATACGCAGAGACGAGGCCGCGGGGATGCGCTAAATGTCCGAGGCAAGGTTACTTCGACGAGTTCCGGGGACATTTTGAAAAGCACCCCCTGCTACATCCTGGAATTGCTCTCTCACGATACAAGGTCCCCGGCAAAGATTTCACCACGTTACGGGTAACTTAGCAAACTCGCAAGAGGCCCTTTAAGGTGAAGTGAAACACGTCGAGGAACTTGATCGACGTCGGTAAAGAAGATTCTTCTAAATGTCTACGTCGCCGAGGTTCGTTTTTATATCGACAGCCGTGTCGAATAATATTGGGTATTGTACCAAATGGCATACTCCACCTGTCGTTACCGTACAATAGACCTCCTAATTACCACGTGGCCCTGCAAATTGCGTAGCCCCGACACAGCGCGTGCACGATTCGTCAAAGTTCACGTTTTTCGACTACACACCTCCGAGGAGACTTTCCCGAAGTACCCGTAAAGCTCCTCGAAATTATCATCGCGTGTACTAGTCCCGCTATCGGCGATTTATTCCGGCGTTATCGGAGCGCCGTGTTCCCTGGCAAAATAATCCAAATGAAGCTCGCCCCCTCCCCCGTCGTAGGCCGAGGGACTCCGCCGTAATTTCCGGCATTAAGCCGGCTCGAAAGGGCGATAATTAACAGCAGCTTCCACGTACCAACGATCGCCTTACCATGTAATTACGGGGCCGGGGATTGTGATCCGTAACACCCGCGAGACGCGAGTTTCGCTATTCGATCGTCCTTCTCGACGAGTCCCACTCTTCATTCGTTAATTCCCCTCGAAGCGAGCCCTCCTAATTAAAAGTTACGGTCATTAGGCGTACCGAGTTAGTTAATAACGAACCACGCGACATCCGGTTCCGGAACTCCTCCTGAAATCCCTTCCCAATGTCCAGGACGAAGAGTCCTCCCGTTGCCTCCGGATTGGAGCCGGCCTTAATCGTGCCACTGGGCCACATATTGCGGCGGATTTTCCGCGACGTGCACTTAGAATAAAGGACCTGGCTTAGGAGACGGAGATACGCCTTTATTCGCGGGGGGGGGGGGAGGCAAACGCTGCAAGGCAGCGATATTGCCATATTTAATATGCCGCATAACTCCCCCGGTTTTCCGCGACAGTTGGGCGAGTAACGTCGCCGATTTGCTCGGCATTTTTTTGCGGCCGGGTGTTTGAAAAGAAAAAAAGAAGAAGAAAATTGGAACGATCAATTGCTATCAAGCCCCCGCGGTAACGCATGAAATCAAAGGGGAGGGGGTGTGTAGGGGGGCAATGCAATCGAGACTAATTTCAACAGCGGTTGAATTCGTGAAAGGCCGAGCCGTGCGTGAGCGGCCTCGCAATTGCCGTATAAACCGAATTTCCGCGGCGCCTCTCCACCTCTCTTTCTCTCTCAGCCTCGTTAACAAAACAATAAATAATTTTTCCCCGCCGATGAATAATGCAGGAGGAGTCCCCGTTAATCGGGGAAGCGGGGCGAATGCCAGTCAATTTCATGCATTAGAAACTTGGCCCCGATTATCCCTGGCACGAGCTGCTGCACCGGAGTGCAGTGCATACATCCCCCCACGGCCATAAACAATTAAACAATTATGTCAAACATAAAAGCCCCCGAGCACTTGACTCCGCACCGACAGGGGGGTGGGATTGCGAAAAGCAATGCTGAAAGCACGATTAATAATGGCCGGTTGATAAATAATGTCGACCTGCGCCCCCGAGGTTTCTCATTTTCGGGCCCTTTTCTTCGTGGGTCCCGGTTTTCCTTCGGGGGGAGGGAAAGTCGAGAGAGGTCCAGATAAGTAGGGAATCGGAGGAATCGGCTGGTGGACCTGGCGGCGGTTTTTCATCCCGATAATAGTGATAACGTTCAATTGGAATAACCCGCGGTCGCGGTGCACACTTACGGTAATTGCAGACGAAGTTGCGGAGGGGTGCAAACGATGGCCGAGGGTGTATTAACGATCTTATCGATCGGTTCAACGGCAGGAGGGGGGTGGGAGGTAATCTTGCAGGTCGCAAGATGGGGAGGAAGAGGCTGATTGATAAATATGGAGCACTGACCATGCCGTCGCCGATGTTGCGCACCACGCAGGGCAAAAGCGCCGTTGAGCCCGACTGGGCTGACACAATGGTGGAGTTGGGGGTGCCAAATGTCATGGGGATGACCGTCGACAGGTCCAGGTCGGAGGTCTTCGAGGCCCTCTCCAGGGAATTCCCATTGGCCCCCTGCATCTCCGCACTGGCCGCCATGGGGCTGTCTGAAAAATGAAACTCGATGAGACCCTCGAACTCTGACCTGCCTACCTTGGGATAATTAATAACCTAATCAAGAAGGCGCGAAAAGAAAAAATGGCGAGGCAGAAACCCTCGGCGAAACACCTGTTGCTCCCCGATCGGCAAGGGTCCCCGGGTCACCGCATCGATTCATCGACGTCCCTGGAAAGTCACCTGGAAAATCGCTCCCTAAATGCGATCCCTAGAGAGGAGACACCAGGTGGTGGCGGTCCGGAAAAATGCGGGAACGCGGGAAATAAATGGGAGGTCTCTTAACCCTGGGGACCGTTCCACCCTGGCGTTGCCGTTTGACGTCCCCCTCGTATTTTCCGTCTACCCTGCCCTAAACGGCGCCCCTAAGCGGGTTTAATCCTCGAACCAGGGCACGAGATTTGTCCTGCCTAGGCTCATGTTTAACCCATCTCCAGGCTCCACCTGCAGGGGGTCGCGGAGTGACGTTCGAGGGTGCGGCAAACGCGATTCCTGGGGGCGTCCCGTAGGAATTCCTAATACTTATTTACACGCGGGGGAGGGCAGATTGGGGGATGCGTCGACTGCGAGGGAGGCTTCCCTGGGTAACCCGCTTTCAGGGGGCCCGATGCACCTGCGCCACCTGCCGAGGGGCGGTTGACGCTCCGGAAAGCTGCTTTCTGGGGACGAGAGAGGGGATCGAGTCATGGCGGAAAATTGTCCACGGTTAGGGGAATCCCCGGGAAAGAATTACTACGGACGGCCCGGCTTGTTTAGTCGACGTTAATTCCCCGGCTCGAGCGCTCCAGGGTCGGGCTCCATTAAATTAGCCCATTAGATTAGGCCGTTAAATTAGACCATTAAATTAGACCATTAAATTAGACCAATGAAAGGTGCGTCGCCGCCGACACCCCTCTAGGTCGCATTATGCAAATTACGCCCTGCGAGCGGCTGCATTGATCGGCCTCGAGTTTTTGTCTCTGCAGGGGTCCTCCCAAGGGGTGTCTCGACAGGGGTGGGTCTCCCTTCCTGAAGAGGTACCCCCAAAAGCTCCCGGTTGACCCAGCTTCCTTGAGTAGGTCCTTATCAGCCGTTTCTTAAGATATTAACGAGCAGAGCCGCACCCTGGCCGGAAACGGCGAAACAAACGCCGGATGCAGTTTCTTGAATAGGAGCCCGGGAGGAAACAAGGGCGCAAAAATTTCGCGCCAGGATTCCTCGGTTCTTCCTGATCTTCCGTCTTGTTCTTCCACGTCTCGCGACGTCCCTTCTGCCTCGAGACAACGAAACTGCCCCAACGTTCATCCACTCGGATAATCCGAGGACGCTCTCCTGGGCGAAATGCAGAGCTCAGACTTTCCTCGGAGGATCGTCGTCGCTGTTGCCTTGAGAAAAGGAAGAAAAGAAAAAGAGATATTCTCGAATGAAAAAGAACCCCGCCCTTCCCCCCCCTGCCTTCCTCGAGGACGAAATTGGGGTGGCGCCTCCGAAACTCTCGTAAAAACCGAGAGGCACCCCTTGTTGGACATCGGTTGCAGGCCGGCCTTGGAGATATTAAGAAATACTTCCACCCTCTTTTTCAGGTGGGGGATTTTCCCCCGCAGAGGGCACGACCCATACCGAAATCCTGCTCTCTTTTCTATGGGGTCGAACCCCACAAATTGGAGTCTGGACCCAAACACCAGGCCAGAGGACTTCGGAATTTTTGGCAGATATTCATTAGGTTCGTCCATTCATTGCTCGCTCCTGGGAATCATGGAACCGGACGGTTCCATCGGGTGGTCCTGTTTTTTACTTTATTTTTCTTTTTTTACCTAGTCCCTCGTCCGCTAGATATTTTCCACGGCGAAATGACGGCGAGTTATCGATCTCCTGATTGCTCGCTCGGAAAGAGGCATCGGACCGTGCCGGAACGAGTGTCAACTGTGCTTGAAAGCAAATACCGATTCGACGCGGTGCCGTTTCCCAACAGGGCGGAACAATGCGAATCACAATACATATTGGGTCACTCCGAGCCTACGCGTTCTACGTTCCCGGTGATGTTTCAATGTTTCGAAGTTTCGAGAGCCATTAAGTCGCCTGCACGGACCGCGCCGTATCGACTTCCCCAGAAAACCGAGAACCCCCCGGTCGATCAAGAGTTCCCCCGGAAAAGAAATCGATTATCTACCCGAGAGTCACCTAACCTCGATCGATTAATTTCCAGCGCACCTCTCCTTCGCTCTGGAGCGATCCTCGAGGACTATTTACGACGTGGACGCACCTCGGGGCTGGAACATCCATGGCACGTGGTCAATGTACGGAGGTTTAATGGACAAATTCTGCAACGGGCCCTCGAGTCATCGATATAGACGGGAATACCTCCACGGACATTCTGGCGAGGGAGGAAAAATCTCGGGATGGGTAAAGTGTACCTTGGGGAACGTTTAACCCCCCCGGGTCGTAAGCCCTGACCTAAATCGGTGACGTTTTCAGGAACCTGGAAGTCTGAAAAAAAAAAAATCGAGGTGTCGCTCATGTAGGAATATTGGACCATGACCACTGCAGTCTGGTCCAGATTCTGGTACCTCTGAAATCTCAAAATCCTTTATCAATCTCAAACCTCTTTATCTATCGCAGTAGTTCCGTTTCTCCGCCGCGTTGGAACGCCAAGCCTAAATCGGTGACGTTTTCAGGTACACCCGAACGCCTGAAAACGTCAAAAAAAGAAATAGAGGTGTTGGTCATGCAGGGACATCAAACCACGACCGCTGCAGTCTCTGCTCGAATTTCTGGTACCTCTGAAATCTCACATTATCTATCTCGGTGATGCTATTATCTTACGGTTCGAGATTCACGGTTTATTATACGCTAAAGGAACGTCGGACGTGCAGTTACTTCCGCTGCGCATGATGGTGGATTCCATTAACAGGAGTAATGAGAAATCTGAGCTCACCAGCGCGCAGGCCGAAATTGAGCAGCACGGCGAGCAGCAAAGCCGCAGCGGTGCGGAGCCCGCGGAAGAGATGGAGCGGATTGAACGCGTGCGGAGGGCCGGATCGAGCGGCCTCTCGTAGCTCCATTTCGCAGATACGCGGCGAACCTCCTAGCCGCTTCTTCTCTCAGACGCCACATCCACCAGGTTAGTTTTTCCTCGATCTCGGGCCCAGGAAGTGGAGGCGTCGATGGCTAAGGATCGTCCTATCCGCTTCTTGCCCACCCCGTCGTCAAAGTCCGCTCCCAGGACGGCGCTATTGCTGGAGTTTGCGGCGGCACGTCGCGGCGTCCTCTTCTTGTCTCGGCGTCAACTTCAAAATGGCCACCCCGGACATTGACCGATCCTGGAAGACGATATAACAGGCCTCGTTATCCTGGCCGATAAGTTGGACGCTAACGCGCAGCGGGCAATTACATTCCCAAGGACCCTCGCGACCCTAGGACGAGAAGACATCCGAAGGAAGAGTTAGTAAAGAGATTTCCCGGATGGAGAACAAGTACCCCGGGAGGAGGCAAGAGACCCGTCTAGATCCGCATAAGATAACGAGATACGCCGCGGAAAATATTTATAACTCCCTCGAGATAAGATAGTTTAAGTATAACCAGTAGAAGAAAATCGACGGACTCGGCGGGAAGTTAAAATGGGTTTCGTATTGGGTAGAAGACTTAACGAGGACTGGGGCTTCTTGTTAGGCGGTACAGAAGTCGAGTGCGTGCGAGAGAGCGCGGAAAAAACTTGGCAGGATCCCTCGACCGGAAGTCAGGGATTTTCGCTCGACAGGCTTCCCGGGACGACGTCACCTGGGAGGCGTCGAACGCGGGGAATTCTCTCGGAGGATTGATCCCGATCGGCGACCCTGAAGAGATAGCTCCATCAATCGAAGACCGCAGAACTCGAGGGGGGAATTTATAATGCACGACTCGGTGCTTTCGGCGTGGTGCGAAGAATTGCGTCGCCCCTTGTAGCCATTTTGCAAATTGCCCGTGGCACCTGCGAAGGCCGCCATGTTTTATGGAGTCCATCTATCAGGGGGACGTCTTACCGGTGGGGGTCTTCTTATTTTTTCGTTCTTTTTTCTGCGGGATGGACGGCCATCGGGACATATTTACCGTTTCGTCGCGGCCAAAGGCTTCCGGAAAACGCGGTTACCAGGACCACGTGGGAGGAACGTCGGCGAGGCAAAGGCTTCCGGCTGCATCCGGTTCAAAGGAAATCCTTCTACATGCGTACATACGCTTTCGAGAGCTCCGAAAAACCTCCCTCGGAAGTCCGCATCTCCATCGATTCCTAGACGTGACTTTGAGACCGCAAACAGTTCCTTAGAGACCTTAAGCTGAAGTGAAACCCCCTTAAAATCAGTCGATTCGAATACAACACTTTTTCTTAAGGGTATTAGACCAAACTGTCCGAAACTTTGACACGTCACTCCTGATCATCTAAGAATTGTCCTGGCACATTCGAAATTTGGATTTTTGGACAACATTTTTTAACACAGCCCAAACCAGAACCAAAATGGCGTCGAGCTCTCATATTTCGATCAATATACAATTATCGAAAGCTCTGACATAAGAATCGAAAGGGTCAGGACAATTTTACGACAATTTAGAACACTCTGATAATCGATAAACTCGCATTTGAAAGGGATAAGGGCAAAAAAAGTGTTGTACGTGCTTCTATGCTAAAACGATGCCGCGAACAGGAGAGTCCTCCGAGCATCGTCCTGCCGGAAGACGCGTTTGGCCGGCAGACCGGTAAACGGAAGCTCCGCCATTTTCTCGCGGAAACCTCCTTGGCGAGCCGGAGAAGTAATTAAAATCCCAACTGGAGCGCGGGGGAGCTTCCGGGGGAATATTTATTGAGGAGTTCCCCGGAATCGGGGGAACTTTTCGGTAACAAGTTCGCCGGCCGCACAAAAGGACGAGCCCTCCAGGAAGCCGCAATTACGGGACGGAAGGAAAAAGAGAGGGGTCGGAACCGCTCCGCAAACTGGCCCGGAAGTAGTGCGACCCTTCGTGTTGATTTTGGGGTCGGCCCCGGTACAATTTGAATTTCAATCGGATTGCAACCGAGGACCGAAGACGCCCAGCGCGGATGCAAATGCGCCCGAAGAGAAGGACGTTTCGCCGCCGATAAAATCCGCGATCCCGTCCATCTCGTCCCAAGTGGTACCCGTCGACGTTCCTGGAGGGTCGCCCCCTCATCGGCCGAGATCCCGGCGATAAACGACGGGAAATGGCGGAAAGGATCCCGAAAGAAATCCGCTCCTTCCCACCCTAGAGCCGGAAGGAAGTCCTCGAGTTCCAGCGGGGTCCCCTTCAAAGGCCGGCCTCGAATACTTGGCCGGCCCTGTGGAAGAGTTTCCAGCACTCGAGGAAGTTTCGCCATTGATCGGCGGACAAGCGGCTAGCTCGATGCAAAACGTCCGGCAGCGAAATTACACGTCGGATGATGGGCCTGCAAACACGATTCGGCAATCATGGAGCCGCGACTCGTGGTCGACTTTGGATTTTGATTCGGCAGTTGGGAACTTAAAGTGATACGAAAGGGTCGATCTAGATATATCAATCTCTGGAAATATTTATAAAACTTCTCCAAACTGGGTGCACCGAATAAAAAGTGCAAAAAAAGAAAAACTCCGACCCACGATCATGGAGGCCTTAACGAAGGAGGGCCTTCTTGAAACTCGGGCAATTTCATGTTTCAAGAATAATTGTCTTGCATTCCCCCCCTGATGAGAATGAAAAAGGGACATTTCTCTTCGTCATGTCTCGCCGTCGATCGACTCGCTCAATGCAAAACGTCCAGCAACGAAATTACACGTCGGATGATGGGCCTGCAAACACGATTCGGCAATCATGGAGCCGCGACTCGTGGCCGTCGGCCAATCGACTTTGGATTTTGTTAAGCCGTTGGGAACTTAGGGGAACCGGTTAACGAGAGATAAACGAACACGGATCCTCCGGTGCTTTTCGCCCCTGTCCGGCATTCCGGACGACCGACCCAATTTCCAGGAGTGGCCGGTTTAGCGGGACGCAAACGAGCCCGAAAAGCGCGCGCGACACTCGCGAGTTCATCTCCTGTCCGATGGGACAGGGTTTCATTTGTTTTTAATTAGCGCCCGGGGACACGGCCAACGCGAAATGGCCAGAAAATCTAGTCACAAAGTGTCCCTCGTTAGCAGAGACCAGGAGATATGGAGCTGATGGGGTTGGTCTCCTTTCAGCACCATTTCTCGAGGGCCGATGCCCGTTTAGCTACCACTAAATCGCCATGGACCACAAGATGCGGTGCTCGTCCCAAATTCGTCTCTGCTGGGCCAGAAATTCTACCTTCCGTGTTTTCACTCCAAACACCAAACGGACGCTTCGAGAAACACCCTCTGAGCGGCTTTGTACCCGGCGATATCACCGCTGGTCAACAGGAAATGGAAATCAGAAGCCAGGAGAGATGGAGCTCATGAGATTGGTCTCCTTTTCGTACCGAAGTCAGTTTAGCTGCGTATAGGTCGCCATGGACCACAAGATGTGGTGCTCGCCCCAGCTTCGCTCCTGCTGGGCCAGGAATTCCACGTTCCGTGTTTTCAATCAAAACACCAAGCGGATGGTCCAAGAAACAATCTCTGAGCGGTTTTGTACCCGGCGAAATCACCGCTGATGATCAACAGGAAATGGAAATCAGAAGCCAGGAGAAATGGAGCTCATGAGATTGGTCTCCTTTTCGCACCGAAGTCAGTTTAGTTGCCTGTAGGTCGCCATGGACCACAAGATGTCGTCGGCGAAATCACCACTGATGGTCAATAGGAAATGGAAATCAGAAGCCAGGGAAAATGGAGCTCATGAGATTGGTCTCCTTTTCGTACCGAAGTCAGTTTAGCTGCCTATAGGTCGCCATGGACCACAAGATGTGGTGCTCGCCCCAGCTTCGCTCCTGCTGGGCCAGAAATTCTACGTTCCGTGTTTTCAATCAAAATACCAAGCGAATGCTCCAAGAAACAGTCTCTGAGCGGTTTTGTACCCGGCGAAATCACCGCTGATGGTCAACAGGAAATGGAAATCAGAAGCCAGGAAAAATTGAGCTCATGAGATTGGTCTCCTTTTCGTACCGAAGTCAGTTTAGCTACCTGTAGGTCGCCATGGACCACAAGATGTGGTGCCTGCCCCAGCTTCGCTCCTGCTGGGCCAGGAATTCCACGTTCCGTGTTTTCAATCAAAACACCAAGCGGATGGTCCAAGAAACAATCTCTGAGCGGCTTTGTGCCCTGTGAAATCACCGGCTCCGCCGACTCATCGAACATAACGAGGTGACCAGCACCGGTATGCGAGCCCTGCAAACGTAATCCAGCTTCGGGCCGGCGTTTCATTTGTTTTTAATCAACGTCCTCGGATGCAGCGACAGGCAAGCCGGAATCTAAACACAAGGTGCAGTTCGTTAACGAACACGCCGATGGAGGACCGGATGAAGAGCGCCAGGAAGCGTCGCGGGGGGTCAGAAAAACCAGGATCCCTTTGTCAGAGGCGATTGCGTCGGCGAGGTCCCGGGCTGGACCACCCAGGGAAATCCACCTCGCATATCGGCCCAAAGATACGTCGGGAAGTTGGGGAGGCACCAGCTGATGACGTCCCGGCACTCATCGACGTCCTTCGAGTCATCTTCGCGACCGAGCAATAATTTCTCAAGGTTTAGGCGGCGGGGCCATCTTCGAAATTCCCTAACTACTCGGTCGCCAATGCAAACCGATTGGACGGGTCGGCGATAAAACCCGAGGGATCGACGGAGTTGCTGGCAGAATGCGAGATCCAACAGCCAACTCCGGGAAAATGGGAGAAATTCTGGAATTCTGGCGCTCATCGACGAGCGACTTGCTCCGGCTGGACCCACGTTTCGGGAGCTGATAAAACTCGTATCGGGAGTTCTCCATCGCGATCACGTCGCTTCCGATAAGGCCACTTTACATGCTAGCTCACGCCTGGATGAGGTGCCTGGATCCCTTCGCGGGGAGTCCGTCCAGGACCCCGAAGACAAAAAAACAGGACCCTCTGAACAAATTCGAGCCACAATCCAGCCCGCGGTGAATCGACAAAAGGG